CAGTACACGGAATGAGATCCGGGATCTGGATGCGGGAGGTCACGGGGCCAGTACACGGAATGAGATCCGGGATCTGGATGCGGGAGGTCACGGGCTCAGTACACGGAATGAGATCTGGCATCTGGATGCGGGAGGTCACAGGACCAGTACACGGAATGAGATCCGGGATCTGGATGCGGGAGGTCACGGGGCCAGTACAAGGAATGAGATCCGGGATCTGGATGCGGGAGGTCACGGGGCCGGAACACGGAATGATCCGGGATCTGGATGCGGGAGGTCACGGGGCCAATACACGGAATGAGATCCAGGATCTGGATGCGGGAGGTCATGGGGCCGGAACACTGAATGATCCGGGATCTGGATGCGGGAGGTCACGGGGCCAGTACACTGATTAAGAGCAGTAAACCCTTTAGGAATACCTTTCAGTAAACATTCACTGGGGGAGAATCAATCACAGTCACTGAACACACATGCACCACGAAGTCACCTGCAGTGAATGTTTGTTGAATGTCAGATTCACAGCTTTATGAATAATCTCCTTTCCATAAACCGTTCCCCTATAACTGGCCGTCCGCCATGATGGCCCGGGGGCCGGATCTGCCGCAGGAGCGCTCTCAAGGACGCAGAGGTCTTTGATGGGAGTGGTGGGTGAATGATTAATGAGCGGGTGTGTCTGCGGGAAGGTGGCGACGTGACAGACGGATCCTTTGAACGCCCCGACAAAGACATTCTCGGCTTTTATAGGTGAAGCTGAGACGCCGTTTACAGCCCATCATTGGAGTCCTGTGATGCATCGTGGGACTTGTAGTTCCACAACAGCTGGAGGGCCGAGGCTGCCCCACCCCCACCCGGGATAATGGAATCAAAACAAAAACAAACAAAATCAATCTAGAAAGTGTTTCTGATCTGCGCGATTCATGTTCAATGGGCCCAACACACCGGAACCCGGAGCCCCGCCCCCCACCGAGGCACAGAGTATTGGGGTCACCGTGGGCTGTAACAGGGACATTGGGAGGCCGTTCACAGTGCGCAGCATTTTACTGCACCGCAAAGATCTTATCCCGGCCCTCCACCATTTACTTCTTTCTGGGGCCCCTCCTAGCCAGGGGCCCACTAGTCCCTGCACCCACCTTCTCCCGCTGGTGAGGTTTGGCGACCCGGCTGTGCGGAATGACCTTCACCGCGTAGCACTTGTTGGTGAGAACGTCCGTCATCTCGTAGCATCGCGCAAAACCGCCCTGCAAGACAAAACAGAGGCGTTAGGAGACGGGGACCAATCTCAGGGGCCACACCAATAACAGGGGCCACACACCACACACCCAACAGAAGATCATCCACGACCAATCACAGGGGCCACACACCACCCACCCAACAGAAGATCATCCACGACCAATCACAGGGGCCACACACCACCCACCCAACAGAAGATCATCCACGACCAATCACAGGGGCCACACACCACCCACCCAATTGAAGATCATGCACGACCAATCACAGGGGCCACACACCACCCACCCAATTGAAGATCATGCACGACCAATCACAGGGGCCACACACCACCCACCCAATTGAAGATCATGCACGACCAATCACAGGGGCCACACACCACCCAACAGAAGAGCACCAAATGTAGAGAACATTCCGGAGATCACAGAGGAGCGACAGCACATCCGGCATAATACACAGTAATCCGCCGCCCCACATTCGTATACAGCGAGGTCGGACGCCATTTTTACACTTCTACAGCCAACAGCAGGCTGAGCAGAAGCTTCCTGCAATGTCCAGGGTGACGCGGTTCCGGGACCGTGGCCCTAAGGGGCGAACGTTCATCTTTGAGTTCTGGAAGTTTCGGAGACCCCCCCTCCCCCAGTATATGAAGGTATATACACGACTTCTACATCAACATTTTTTGGTATACAGTCCTTTGCTATATGCCCATCCCCCCACTTATGGCATTCCGCCACGCTCCTCGCGGGGGCCGTAAATCACGGGACATTGCGGTGGAACGCGGCGGGCGGGCAACGGTCTCCGCGTCCGGACGCTGCGAGATTAGAAGAACACGACAACAATGTACAACCATGCCGATCAATGGAGCCAAAAATAACGACACGCGAGCTCAGCGTTTCCTGTGCGCTATTTATAGATCCGCCGCCTATTGACAGCCGAGCGGTTCCTGCACACTGAGCATTATCGCATCCAGGGCCGAGAACTACAAGTCCCAGCATGCTCTGCAAGCTGGTGTGTGCTGCCACATGTATCCCCCCCCCCGTTATCTGCAGGATGAGCGCAGACGCTGCGTGAAGATCCTGCAGCAGAAGAATGCAGACGGCGCGAACAAAGGGACAGCGGCACCGCGCCGGAGAGGAAAGGGTTAAAAAGATGGACAGAAAGCAGAACTCCGCCCCCCTCATCCCGAGGATTCTAGGTGGAGCGCCGCGTCCAATGTCGCTCCGGGCCCATTCTGGGTGGAGGATCACCAACCAGGTTCTGGAATTATTGGCCGCAATTACCGCGCGCCCAAAATCTGCAAATCAGGAGCAGGCAGCGTTTTATTCCGATCCCGCCCTCTGCGCTCGCCAAGCACCGCTGTAAGGTCACCGGGTTCACCGCAGTGCAGGATCCTTATCTGCGGGCTCCGGTTCTACCAAAGGTTCCATCACCAGATACGAGAGCAGAGGGGAGCCAGCCGATTATATACCCGTTTCAGGTCATAGAGCAAACGTGTTCTGTGGCGCTGTACAAACAGAGGCTGAAGCTGCCCAAGCATGTAACAGATACCAAGGGACCGACCCAATGTAGCCAATCCGATACCGGGCAACCGTCCCCCACACCAGGGCAAACGTCCCCCACACCAGGGCAAACGTCCCCCACACCAGGGCAAACGTCCCCCACACCAGGGCAAACGTCCCCCCCCCACACCAGGGCAACCGTCCCCCACACCAGGGCAAACGTCCCCCACACCACCAATCCACTGCTACTGGCCCAATACATCACCGACCCAATCTCACTACACACAGATCTCCCCAGAAACAGATTTTTACCTAAACGTTCAGATTTGACTCGAATTTTACGGTGTTTTTTGTAAGTGATCCGTGCGGGAAAATCGGAATCCCGTTAAACCAAATCAATAGATTTCCTTCTCCTGCAGAACGAATAGAAGTGATCAAAGCCGAGACTGACCGATGGTTCCGGTTGTGGGTTCTCGGTCCAAAGAGCTGACCGCCCTCTGCAGCAGACAGAAGCGGCTGGACTCCGGCGGGCTCAGAAAAAGAGGCCACACCTCTAGAAGGGCGAGCGGCCCGTATCCAGAGTCAGACACGTCCATCGAAGGAGACAAGTCACTTATGTCGCCCACCTAGACTGTAATGGAGCCCATGATGTCCCCCAGCCAGAGCCGGTCTCATGAAGCCAGAAAAGAGTCACCCTGGATCAGCGCCACCCGTCCAGAATCTGATTCGCTTCCTTCTAATGTTCAGACATCGACGCTCTCAATGAAACGCACCTTAAAGTGCAACACTGCCACCAAACAGCAACAACCCACCGAGTTCAGATCACCTTCATTCCCTAAACTGCATCTGGAGAGGATCCAATCACAGAGCTGGCGACCAATCCGAGGCCGTGCCTGAGCCGCATGACACTTCTTTGGACGCAGCCGCTCCGGTTGGAATCCGTTTCTGATATATTAACAAATCCCGGTGCAAATCAAAACGCACGCAACCTGAGGAAAACCCAGGAAAGAAAGCCGTGTACACGAGTCT